ACCAGGAATGGCCGATTAAACGTGAGTATAAAGTTATCAGCCTTTTATTCACGAAAATTATGTAAAAAAAACTTAAAATGCTTTTTTCTCAAAAGTAACATTTTCAAACTGGTCAGACACTTTTCTCCGAACCTTCTTAACCGATTTTAAAAAACCAAACATTTTTCGAATGTATATAGAAAGTACTAGATGATAAACCTTTAAAATATTTAAAAACCACCCTCCCTTTTATTATATATGGGTAAATCCACCGAAAAATATACTGATTTTTCAACATTTTTGAAAAAATTCGTATAAACTCTTCAAAATAATACAATTTGCATATTTTAAAGGTTTATCATCTAGTTTTGAGTCTCACGAATACAACCCATTTTGAATTTTTTGAATATCTGTTACAGATGACCCACAAAGTGTCTTACCACCAAAAACGCACTTTTTACTACACGCCATCTACAGGAAACCAATGAAGTTAAAATCGCTATTAAAAATTTTTATTATGTACTTTAAGACTTACTTAATCATCTCCAAAAGGAATTATGTTAATAAATATTATAGTTTTTTTTCTGCTTTAATTTTAAAATGCGTCTTTTTTTTTAATCGCATGAGACTGTCCCCTTAAATAAACATTTCAATATCATAATTTTTTTTAAGTCTCAAGAAAAAGTTATCATTTAGACATCATTATAATTTATTTTATCCGTAGTATTGATAAATCAAAATATTTCATATCAAATTAATTTAGGTCACAAAAGAAAACAAGATTCATTGTTTTAATATTGGTTACATACACTAGAAGGTAAAGGAGTCATTGATAAAACTTACATGATTGATCATTTAATACAAATTGATAAAATAAACGAATTTTGTTATTTCAACTTAGAAATTCCTGTGTATTATTTATGTCGTTTTTACCTAACTTTTTATTAGGAAATCTTTGTTGAACCTACGAAACAAAGTAAGTACTAATTTTATATATATCCTTAAGTAATTGTACAAAAAGAAACCATACATTCTACACTTTAAAATATTACGATTTAAGCACACTTGCTTTAATAAAATGTTGATATTAAGAAAGATACATGGTGTATCGAGGCGTATTTATACATATATTAATATTGCATTCTGTACATATACTAATTTAACATTCACTAACTATTCACTAATATTATTTTTTAGAAAACAATTCTGAAAAGAACCGACCACTACCTTTCTCCACTGATTGTCCTGGCTGCACTCCACCAGTGGACCACGAAGAAAAAGAACCAGAAGCCAACACCAACAACACAAGAACCACATCCTGAAGAGGCAAAAGCCTATAACAGGATGCCAAAACCCCAAAACAAAAGAAGTATCATACCAAAGACAGAGAAAACCAACGCAACAATGAAGTGTAATCGTCGGATTCACTCCCCGCCTCTCGACGCGGTAGTGTTCTGAGCTGTTGGACGTGAATCCTTGTCCTGGCATTTGGTTTTCACCTCTGGCTGCGTTAAGTAGTTGAGTTACTGTGACCAAATGCCCATCTTGGTAGTTAGTATTCGCCCCTGTTTGCGTTGAGTAACTGAGTTACCGTTACTAACTACTTATCTTCCTGTCTTTTGATTTCTTTTTCTTTGTTCTCCTGAAGAAGCTACATACAATTGTAGCGAAACGTCGAGATGAACCCACTTTTGGGTCACTCACAAATGACACGGTCCAAACCCGGAAGACGAATAAACTATAGAACATTAAACTGTTCATTAATTAAAATAATATATAATAAAATTATCTTTTGTAAACAATATTTATTTAATTAAAATCATTTTCTCTACTTTTCATTTCTTGGGTCCGATGAGCACTTCTGGTCAGTTACGTTAGAAAACTTTCATTTTAATAATTCATTTCTGTGGAAAACAATCGGAGCGCTTCTATCGTCTATAAGAAATACGTAACCATATCTACGCAACGTTCCGTTCTTAATAATTTACTCTCCTTCTTCAACTTTTCTTGGCGAAATTGCCTTTAATCTTTCCTATCGGCTATTATTTTCTTGTTACTCCATCGACAAACCAGGTGTTAAAAACAAGTTACGGTAGAGGCAATCGTGTCAATAATGGTCACACGACACGACCGCGAACGATGCTCTTGGAACATCAAGCGGCATCCCATCGACGATCAGACTTGTTTTCGCGGACGGAACTTTGCAGGAATTTACGAAATTTTCCCAGCTACTAGTGTGGACAACTATGAATACTCACCAACACGCAAGCAAACGCGAGGGTTAAATGCCAAAAACCCAACTTCAAACCAAGCTCATTTAAAATGAGTCAACGTCATCAACCTAAAGATTGATAGATTTAATGCTAATATAGAACTACAGCTATCAAAAATAAAATCGGATAATGTAGGTATCAGTAAGATAAGTAAAAGGGAAGAAAATCTAATAGCAGTCCAATCAGGCAACCTATGTTGTCTACTACTAGAGTAGCCTACTGAAATATAAAATTAAGCTCCAGATACCTCTTACAGATAATACAGGTTTACACCCTCACAACACAACACAATAACGAGGAAGGAGAAATAGAAAAACCAGAAATCACAGATTCCTTAAAGAAAATAAAAAGCAGTGGAGTTTCAGGTGAAGATGAAATAATGGCAGAAGCAATAAAACATGGAGTGTAAAAACTATGAACAATGATTTTGGTTCACAAAAAAGGCAGACAAGACTAATTTAGAAAATTATGTGCCAATTATTCTTCTAAGCTACCTCTACAAATTTGTTTATCGTAATAATAGTTACCATAATGAAAAGCAAACTGGAGATCTACTACTTAGAGAACAGACAGGATTCCGAATAGGTTATTGAACCAACGACCTTATACTAATTATCAAAGCGATGATACAACAGGATACAACAGGATTCAAATCTACCGATATAACGATATCTTTGGATGGTGAAATGATTGTGAAAAGTAATAGTTTTAAGTACCTAGGATTGGTATTACAGAGTAATGGAGAAATAGATGGAGATGCATGCAGTAGAGTTAGGGTTACATGGATGACGTGAAAAGAAACGAGTGGTGTGTTGTGTGGTGAAAAATTCCAATGAAGCTGAAGGAGAAATTCTATAAAACAACCATAAAACCAGCTAAGATGTACAGAACTGAATGTTAGGCAGTCAAAAAGAAAGAGTAATAACGAATGCATGTGGCGGAAATGAGAATGCTTAGATGGATGAGTGAAGTGACAAAAAAGGATAGAATTAGAAGTGAGTATTTACGGAGAAGTTTAGGGGTGGCACCAATTGTCGCCAAGAGAATGGAGCATGGGTTAAGATGATTTCATGGTAAGACATGTTTCATGGTAAGACATGTCGGTAAAGGGGATTGATATTGGAATGACCCAAGATAAAAACTTATGGAGAAACGTAATTAGATAAGTTGACCTCGAATAGGGATAAAAACAAAGAGAATGATGATGATGATGATGATGATCCATCCTTAGTATATTATATCTAATATACTAAGGATGGATAATATGCAACTAATACATTAACGGAAAAGAAATATAGAACTGAACTGGTGGAAATATTTGGCATATGAAATTAAGATTTGCGAATATATCCAAACAAATGAATTTAAAAGCCAAATTTGTCCTGGAACTTCGATAGGCAGCATATGGAAAAAGAATTGGAAAGGATTGGTGAAATTAACCAAACTGTTATTCTTACTTTATACCTATAACCAAGAAAAATGAAGCAAATAGCTACTCACCCTTCAGATTAATTAGCCTGATGAGCCATTTTCTGAAAATTTTACTCAAAATGGTACATCAACGAATATACAGAGAATGCGAAAGAAACCTGAGCGACAATCACTTTGGATTTATTACAAGGATGCCTCCCTTGATACAAGGGACGCATTATTTGGCCTTTAGATATTACTACAAAAATGTTGAGATCAGCGAAAAGACGTGTTTATCTGTTTTATCGACTACGAAAAAGCGTTTGATCTAGTAAACACATAGAACTCATAGAAACCCTAACACAACATTGTATACACCATAACAGTGTAGCACTTATTAAAAAACTATATTGGGATCAAATGGCGTCAATCAAAATAGACACTCGTCTGACAGCAGAATTGCCAATAAAAAGCATGCTATTTAGGGTGGCAGTAAATAAAATTAAAATAGCTATGATGGTAGCCAACGTTCTGAAAGGACATGGTACATGAATAAGAAGAGTCAGGGCTGTGTACTTTCTCCACTGTTATTTAATATATATTCCGAAAAGATCTTTCAAAATGCCCTCGAAAATATTAAAGAGGGAATAAAAATCAACGGAGAATACGTAAACAACTTAAGATACGCAGACGACACCGTCATTATTGCGGACAGTGCTGAGGGTTTACAACGACTTTAAAATGTCATAACCAGAGAGGGAGATAGCTTGGGACTAAATAAAAACACAAATAAAACAAAAGTAATGGCTGTTACACGTGCACCAAATGTCGATATTAATATTCGTATCTATTCTACAAACATATAGAACCAGTACAAAGATTACAGTATCTTGGTTGCTGGATAACAAACGATCTTGACCACGAGGTCGAAATATGTGCTCGTATAGAATATGCTAGGTCCGCATTACTGAGAGAGAACTTCTAAATATTGTAAAAAACAGAAAAACGAGTTATCTAGGACATATTTACAGAGGAGAAAAACACAACTACCTACGACTTATAATGGAAGGGAAAGTGGAAGGAAGAAGAGGTCCAGGAAGAAGTAAATGCTCCTGGTTGAAGAATATGAGAGACTGGCATGACACACATTCAATACTAAGCTCAAGATAGAGAGCAATTTGCTGTAGTTATAGCCAACCTTCAGTAATGGAGAAGGCACCTTAAGAAGCAGAAGAAGATCCAATGAAACGTGGTATTTTACCGTATGTCGGAGAAGTAGTTACTTCCATTTCTAATTTCCAATTCTAAACGTCACTTCCTACAGTAATAAATGTCAGTGTCAGTGAGAGACTTATTTTTTATGAATTTTCTGGCTTGTTCAGAATCTTTCACATAACAACAGTGATGTGAAAAAATAATAAGTGTTTTAAATAAGAAACTACTATGCCGTTAGCAAATTCGGGTGAACCATGGCAAATTCATCACGCCGATTCAGAGGTAATTTGAAAAATATGTAGTACTGGAGCTACCCTTTTTGTATAAACTCATCTTCAGTTTTATTTTGGTTTAAACGCACGCCTAGCATCAATTTTTTATGATTCTTTAACCGGTTTGTTCATTTTACAGCCTTTGGAGTATCCAGATCCCTAAGAATAGTGTCTGTACGTAAATTGTTTACGTTTTTTGCAACTTTTTGTAATAGCACCAAAAACATCATTTACTCTTGCTGCATGACATTTACTAAAGTATCATTTATATTGGACAAGTTTACTTGCTTTTAGCTAGCAAGAAAGGTACAATTTAAGTCAGTTTGAGCTGAAGGGGTGATTATACTCATAAACTTTCCCCTGGTCAAGTAGATAAGTAGTTGGCGAGTTTGCATTACCTGTTGCGCCTATTAGGCCTCAAAATAACCAAAACTATGACTATACTAATCTAATTTACCAAGCAGTTAATATGCCAGGAAGTAGCAAGAAAAATAATCCTAATAACCTTTCAACTAGAAATTATCTGCTGATGGAGTTGATTACATTATAGCATCTTGTGTGTTTGTGGCTAGTAGTGAGTAAATTCTTCCAATATAATTGTTCTTAAGTGTAATATAATCAAATAAGCTTGAACTGGAGACCAGCTGAAATATATGTGTTTAGAAAAGCTTGAGAAATTTATGTGCTTTTATTTTCATTACTGGATTTAATTTACAATTGTTTAACAAGTAAATCCTTCAGTAGATAACCCCTACCTCTAAACAGATAATTTATATACTACCATGCAATAAAAGTACACACATAATAATGTCTAGTAATATTTTACAAAATATTTAATAATTTAAGCAACATTTATATTATCTAATCCTTTGGTTGATGCTCCTTTTGAACCTCCACGACTCTTTTTTAATAGATAAAACAACATTATATTGCAAATAAAAAAATAATTATAAGGTATTCAATATTTTGTATTTCTGTCTTAGTCTAGTTCATTTGTGGTGTTATTTTTAGGAATAAACACTAATAAAAACATTTTGAAACCTGGATATACATGATTTGACATCTCTAGATTTAATAGCTACTGTAGGCTAAAAATCACTTGATTGTTTTTCAACCAGTGCAGTTAGCAGCAATAACTAGTGTATTTATTACCAGTTGTACATTAAATTTATTTGAGTTTTCTCAATGATGTCACAAATCATCTGTATATATTGTCTTCTTAGATACAAGCTTCTTAGATGTATGATAGGGTCCTCACATTTGCTTAGGACAGTAAATCTCAGATGTAAAAGGTTTTTGTGTCGCACCAATGATTATCCCATATTATGCAGATAAACTCATTGATATTATACCTAAAGGGTATCATAGTATCAAATGCATTGCTGACAAATTCCTGAGAAAAATCTAAAGTAGGTGCAAGTTTGTGAATTAGTTTTGTTTTACTCTCTTTGAATTACCAATCTCTTGTAAATTCAACCATAAATCTTTCATTATCTTTGATGTCATTATCGTCAGTGGTGCTACAGCCCTAGTTGAGTCTCAACCTTTCCCAGTCTCTTTTGCCAGTCCTTTCTGTTCATTGCCAACTATTGCCAGTTTGCTATGCTGATCTTCCTTACATGCTCGTCCACAAAATCCCTCCATCGCAATCTTGGTCTACCTCTACTCCTATTTCCTACTGCTGCTGCTAATAAGATTTGTCTGGGTGGCTAATTTTCTTTTCATATTGACACATGTCCAGGCCATTTAAGCCGGTGAAGGATTACCCTGCATGTTTCAAAGGCTTGTGACAAAGTGCCAATGGGGGATGTTAAGTTCATTCATGGCTTCATATAATTTACATCTTAGGATGCTATTGTACACAACTCCACAAAGAGATGAGACATATCAATGTTAAATTGATTGGTTTTTTCTAAGATTTGTTGGAGCAGAAAAATATGTTCAATTGTTGACTTACTTGGCCTAAAACTACTTGATATTCTCCAAGGAGTTCTTCCACATAAGTACTCAAACAACTGTTCAGGGTATTGGAGAATATTTTGTATATTGTGTTCAGAAGAGTTATACCCCTATAATTTTTACATTCCAACAAATCTTCCTTTTAGGTACTGGACATATGATTCCATTGACTATTATGCTGTGAATTTGGTGCATAATGCTATGTTTGATAAGCTCTGCAGGGATACAGTCTAAGGAGGACTTATTGTGGGGGTTCCAATACTGTGGGTGGTATTTTTTGGCCTTTGAGGTGACACACCATTTTCCACTTTGGTACCAAGTAGTTTTTTGAAGTGCTTAACCCATCTGCTTCGTACTGTGTCACTGATACTAACTATATGTCCATATTTGTCATTACACATCGTCAGCCATGGTTTTGAATTATTTTCTTGTCTTATTTAGGATGTCATAGAACTTTCTAGTTTCATTTCTTCCCTTAAGTAATTGAAGCTCTTGTATCATCTGGTTTTCCAAGGTCCGCGTTTTTCTTCGATACACATGTTCGTTTGTCTTTCCTGAGTTCTTTGTATGTTTACTCCTTATCTCGTGTACTTCTTTGTTGCATAAGTTGTTCTTATATGCATAATTTTTTCTCTTAGTGGTAATCTCACATTCATCATCAATCCAGCTGTTGTGTGAAGTGGGTTCTTCTGGTCCTAGGATGTCATGTGTTACTTCTTTAATTGTTCTTCTACATATATTCCATTACCTGGTAGCTGGTAAATTCTCATCTATTACTAATTACGTACATCCATTTGATTAGAGAAGTGCCTGGTTTCTATTATGATGTGATCTATTTAATTTTTTGTTGTTCCATCATGTAAAGTCCATGTTATTTTATGGATATTCTTAATTAGGTTAAGTAGGTACTTTCAACGACCATGCCCTTGGAAGCTGCACTTTATTATTCTATTTCCATTGTTGTTGGTGACATTATGAGCACTGCATTTTCAGATTTCTTTTCCTATATTTGCATTAAGGTTTCCAATTATGATCTTAATGTCGTTTCTGGGGCATCTGTCATATATGGTATCTACTTCATCATAGAAATCTTTGACATCCTCTTCTTTGTCTTTAATGATCTTGTCTTGTATTGTATTTTCCACAATATTGGTAATTATCTTATCAGTAATAAATAGATATATCACTTAAATTTGTTCCTCTATTTTCCAGCTCTTCAGAATTTGTTTTTGAAGCTGGCGAAATATCTATGATGTTCTTAGCCCTGTTTTTAGATGAACAAAGTGCTTTACTTGTTCAAATATAGTAGAACTTCAATTAGCTGTCATTTTTTGTTAACCATCAGTACTTACCGACAAAACAAAATAAAAATTTATATCTTACTACGCCTTTGTTTATTAAAATGAAGAAAAACTTAATAGGGACCCAGAATTGAAAGCTAGCATGGCTTCATAAATTCAATATTCACCACAGCAGTCATCAGTTTGACATCAGTGGATTAAACTTAGTGCAAGCAGTTCAGTTATTGATCCAGCTATTAGTACTAAAATCACAAAAACTCTGATTATCAAAAAAATTTTAATATCATAGAGCTCGCAGAGCATCTTAGAGCTCATTTGACCAAAAAACATTTACCACAGAAATCATTCTTGCTAATTAATAATACACTAACTCTGATTGTGAAATGAAAAGTGACTATGGCAAACTAAGAGGCCTCTTTGATCCAATGAATACAACTTACAGCATACAACTTTATTTATTTATTTATTTTATAACAAATAGTAAACAGTAATGATCATGTCCAATACACATCAAAACAATAACAAAGAAACAAACAGTAAAAATTTGTAAAAACAGTATATCAAATCACAAAATTTAAAAATAATCACATATTTAAATTAATAATTAGACTCTTAAGTTGCCTTTTGAAAATATTAATGTTTGGACAGAATGGATCCAATAGGAGGTTATTGCAAGAGCTGAGCATTCTCGACAAGGGAATGTCAGCAAATGTACACATTGTCTAATAACTTATGAACAAAGGTATAATTATAAATATGGAGCACCATTATATAAATTATTTTATTGAAAGTCTATTTTTTTATTAGATGATCAAAATCTATAAATACATTTTGGAAATTCTAAACTACGAAGGATGCTTTATGACGTGGCCAGTACATGAATTGATCTTACAATGTCTAACCGAAAAAATGGATAGAATTAACTTGGTCTCAATGTAAGGCTAAAAAATTTGAGAAAATGGAAGCTGTCACTGTTGATGAAGTTATTTAGCCTTTTTATTGTTTACCAAGCAGTGTGAATCTGATGCGAGATGAAATAATGAGCAGATAAAATGTATGAATAGATTGGACAGATAGATTGTTACCAATGTAAGTGCCACAGAAAAAGAAGCTGGCGATTGAAGAAACTGATGATAAGTGTTAATTATGGAAAAGAGACTGTTAGCCACCCAGAGGGCCAAATAAAGTAGGTAAATACCTCGTAAGTACATACAATAGTTTGAAATTCAAGAAGAATCTAATTGGATGCAGAAGCAATATGTTTGCATTAAAAGCCTGTAAACAGAAGAAGAGCGCAAGGTCTAAAATAAAAATAGCTATTATGATTGCCAACCTCCATAGGGAGACGGCACTCTAATAAGAAGACACAGAAGAAAATGACGAACTAATCATCATCCGGGTTTGGACTGTCAATTGTGAATAAAAAAATAAATAAATAAATCTCTTTTCTTTGTCCAGGTCTCCATAGCTAGGCACTGTAATTCCAAGATATTTTATTTCCGTACTTATTTAATACTTATGCCATTTAGTTTTCTGTGTAGAGATTGTAATATTAACTTCTTTTGCTCTTATGTTAAATATGTGAACTAGTCTTTGCAGACTGTCTTCATCTTGGGCTATCAATATTGCGTCATATGCATAACAGAGCATTTTTATTGCTTTGTTTCCCATTCTGTAGTCTCTACCTTTGTTGACACTTAAGTTCTACTTTGAGGGTATACAAGGCAACTATCGAACACTGTGATTAATT